AAGCCAATAAAAATCGAACCTTTAACTCAGTTGAGTTTACCCATATTTATAGGAAATTAAGGGGTGTAACCGCCCCCTTAATTCTCTCCATAGTGGGGCAGAAATCCCTCAGAACGTGGGATAACGGTTTTGAGGCCGTTTGGCTTGTGTTTGAACAAGTCAAACGCCCAATCTGGCGTTCAGAACCCAACTTCGCCTCTTAGAATTGAGACGCGAAGTTGGGTGTTGGCTGAACATTGATGAACGCGAGGGTCGCTCGCGTTTTGGTTTGTTGTAGCTTAGAAACGCGGGGGTCGGTGTTGGCTGGACCCCTAAGAACGCGAGGGTCGCTCACGTTTCGCTTGTTGTAACGCGGGTCCGACTCCAGCGTTTTGATGTTGTAACGCGGGTTCGACCCTGGCGTTTTGATGTTGTAACGCGGGTTCGACCCTGGCGTTTTGATGTTGTAACGCGGGTTCGACCCTGGCGTTTTGATGTTGTCACACGGGGAGGACCTCCGCGTCTTGTCTTGAAGAGATTATCACAAAGTAATCTCTTTTGTCATAGCGTTGCAAAGATCATTGTCTTGTAATCTTCGTCTTGGCTCCTTGAGAATATGAGAGTCGTCAGATTGTAACTCCCGATGTTGATTGCGAATGCTGTTGAACTAGAGCTCTCATCGGTTGTCGTGAAGGTCGTCAGATTGTAACCCTCAGCGATCTACGTGAAAGTCTTTAAATTGTAGCCTTCTGGAAGTCGTCAGATTGTAACTTCCATCATCGGTGTTTGATGGAGGATAAGCTATCTATTGTGATTTTTAGACAGCCTACAATACTTTTAGTATCGGACGAATTACCAACAGATAAAGTTACCTCCCGGGTGTAATATGACTCGAGTTCTCGAAAGTACACATCCATGCTCACAAACAACCTCTTTTTCACCGGGCTCCAGCAAACATATCCCTTCTGAGTAGCAAAATATCCCACAAAGATACACTTCACCGTTCTAGGGGCAAGCTTCCCGACGGATAGCTTGTTGTCATTCACAAAACACATACAGCCAAACACCTTTAGTGGAAACATCCCACCATTATCTCCCTTCAACGTCTCACACGGAGACTTCCAATCCAACACTCTCGAGGGCAATCTGTTGATCAGCTGAGCTGCGGTCAACACTGCTTGCCCCTATAATGTTTCTGGGACATTCATGAAGATCATCATGCTTTTAGCAACCTCTAAAAGATGTCTGTTCTTCCTTTTCGCTACCCCATTCTGAGCTGGTGTGTATGAACATGTAGTCTGGTGTTGTATTTCCTGATCTGACAAGTATTCCCCAAGCGCTTTGTTGGTATACTATGTCCCATTATCAGACCTTAATACTTTCACCACTGCTCTGTATTAAGTCTGAACATACATATGAAAGTTTTAGAAGCAACCAAACACTTCACTCTTATTTTTCATCAAGTATAACCAAGTAACGCGAGAGAAGCAATCAATCTCTTATTTTTCATCAAGTATAACCAAGTAACGCGAGAGAAGCAATCAATGAAGGTAACAAAATACTTGTATCCATTCATAGAGAAGCAATCAATGAAGGTAACAAAATACTTGTATCCATTCATAGAACTTGTGGAACAAGACCCCCAAATATCTGAATGTATTAGGTCAAATGCATGAGAACTCCTATGACCAGAACTAACATAAGAGCTTCTAGCAAGCTTTCCAAACTCACATGCATCGCACACAAGTTTCTGTTTATTTACTTTCTCAAATAAAGATGGATACAACCTACTTAAAACACTAAAAGATGAGTGTCCCAAGCGCTGATGATGAAGCATCAACACACTCTCAACACTCATCTCAGATCCTACTCCTGCTCTCTCTACCATTGACACCAACGCTGAATCCAGCTCTTCACGATCCAGATACCACAGTCCACTACTTCATGTGCCAGTCCCAAGTCTCCGTCATGTCCCCTTTTCCTGGAAGATCATTTTGGGAATGTCAAAAGAAACAATACATTTTAGTTAGAGTATGATAGCACTAATGGATAAAAGATTGTCTGGAAAGAAAGAAGCATGTAAAACATTGGACAAAGTTACAGAACCTGTACAATTGACTGTACCCTTACCAACCACTGGCTGAAATGTACCATCAGCTGTTTGGATACTATCAGCCGATGCTAGGTGAGTATATAATGAGAACTCACTAGTATTACCTGTCACATGTCGAGACACACCGGAGCCGACTATCCATTCTGATGATCTATCGGGAGACATAGAAATAAGAGCATGTATGTCATCAGTACCTTTGGTCGGATGAGCATAAGTAGCAGTGTTGCCTCTGACGAAGAACGAAGTGGATGCCTCCTCAGTCCCACTCCTCATGTCTCCATCTCCTGCTACTCTCTGCTTCCTCCTGAGTATCTACAGGAGCGCATGATCCTCCTCAGTAAAGACCACCTCAGCTGCTTCTTCTTCCTCTGCTACCATCAGATTTGTTCGGTTGCCTGCTCCTCTTCCATCTCGTCGATCCTTACGGCCACGACCAAGACCTCTGAACTGTCCACGTCCACCCGAATCTCCTTCCTTGAGTGGCTTGGTGCAAGCATGTCTTAGATGATCCACTTCACCGCAGTTGTAGCACTGTCGAGTCTCCCCCTTGGATCCAGTGTTGCTAGAGGCTGCTAGTGCTGACTTCACCACAGGAAGTCCACTTGTCCTCGCCTGCAGCCTAATGCGAGTCTCCTCCTGGATCATGACCGAGACTGCCTCCTCAAGTGTAGGAATCTTCGGCTGAACTAGCAGCAATGCAATCCTCTGAGCAAACTCTGATGCCAGCCCCTTGAGAAACACCATAGTCCTCTCCTGTAAAAAGACCTCTCGCTCTTTACACTCCGGGTCCTTGCAGCTCGCCCGAGGTGAGAAGTGATCATAATCTAGCCACAGACGCTCTAGCTCTGTGGCATACTCCTGTACAGTCCTCTCCCTGGACTGTGATGTCGATCTCTCCCTTGATCTGGAACACCCTCAGGTTATTCCCCACCCCATCATAGGTCCTCCTCAACTTCTCCCAGACATCCTTCACCTTATCAATGTCATCCACTGTAACGGCGATCGACTGGACCAAGGAGTTGAGGAGCCAGATGTACACCAATATATGAGTGAACTTCCACTCATCTCTTCCCGCCGAGCCCTCAGCCGACTGTGTCTTCTCTCCTGTCAAGTACCCCTCCAGGTTCCTCCTTGCAATGGTGTATCTCACATTCCGTAACCAACTCAGGTAAGTAGCCGGTCTATCAAGCTTCAGATCGATGGGCGAAAGTTTCAACTTCACCGGTGGCCTTGTCGCGCTCTCACCAGTCGACAACTTCATCAACTGCATCAAAGTTGACAGCTCCGCGGGGTTCAACTTCTTGATGATATCCTCCATCGATCAGGCTCTAGATCAAACACCTGTTCTTCTCTTTGAACCCTTGTTGTGCGCAGTAAAAATTTCGACAATACTTCTGCTGTACAACAAGAGTAAGATCTCAACTAAATTTTTGTTTCTCAAAGAACATAAGAATCAAAAGTGATATATCTCAATACCGTGAGATATACACTCTTCCTCTCATCAGTTCTAGGACTGAAATGTCGAGAGAATCTAACAAGCTACACATCCTCTCATTAGTTCTATGACTGATATGTTGAGGGAATCTAATAAGCTACACATCATCGGCTAAGGCAGTAGCGATGCGTGCGCGGGGTATGGGGTGGCAGGTTAGGGTTAGGGTTAGGGTTGGCAGCGGCTAGGCTCTGATACCATGTTGAATTAAAAACCTAATCTTATTACTGAAATCTCTTGGGCTTATATAGGCCCTTACAAACACAAACTTACAAATAGCCCCCTTCATATTATTAATATGTCAACAGAGGGTTAATTTCATAATACATGCTTGGCCTTTGAGGGGTTTTGCAGTAAACTACCATGAACATTATAAATTCCACTAAACTCCCATGAACTTTCCCACTTAAACCCCCTAATCTAACATTGTTAACTTCAACTAGTCACGTGCATGGCACGTGAGATCAAAAGACGAAAATACCCCTAAACCCAAAACAAATCTCTTTGTCCTTTTTAATAAGGTTTATTAGCAAACAAACCCCCACATTTATCCTCTTTCCAGATATGTCCCAAAATTCTCTCTTCTCTTCCCCTAACCCTAGCCCACAGCAGTTCCCGTCACCAACACTCTCGTAAACCGACCTGCAGATATTAGTTGTTACCAAACAGTATTAATCCAACTAAACACCTCATCCTAGGTAACACGGACAATTTGTTTTGGGTGTTGTGTCTGTGTCCGACACTGACTCTCTGCGGACACTCCATGGACACTTGTGGTTCAAAGAAAAACCCAATTTTCCCATTATTTGTACCCTAAACTAGTTTCTCTAGTAATATCAGGTTCAAAACCAATTATTTTTTAACCTAACTACTAAAACCCATTACTTAAATATCATTTTAAAAACACCCCTTGTATTATCCCATGTAGTCAAAGCTAAACTTTTTGTTAAACTTATTCTTGGTTTAATTTAACTTGATTCTTAATTGTTATAGATAATAGAAAGAAACATACAAATGTTATTGGTATCTTCGTTCAATATTTCATCATGTGTGTGTATTATATACCGTGTCCCCGTATCCTACATTTTACTACTTTGCCTTGTCCCGTGTCCATATCTGGGTCTGTGCTACCTAGACGTCATCGGACAAAAGGTCTTATGATTCATACTTCTTTCTGTTCCAGTCATCTTCGTTCCTCTCAGTCATGAGCATCAAGATTCAATAGTCGTATAAACTGGTATTGTAAAGAGCTTCTGACGTTTAAACAAAAATGCAACTGAAGAATGCAGCATGTTTATACTCGAGAGTGTATATGACAATTCTATGCAATTATCCATAAAGTAGAAGCAAAATAGTCGTCTTAATAAAAGCCCCAATTCAAATATTCAGCAATTAATTGACAACAAATAAATTTACCATTGGTTGGGAAGGTTCAGAAGAAGACAGCTTAAGTAGCTTTCTTAAAGAATCTTTATTGTCTGCTTTACCCTTGAGATCATCAGCATTATACTGGAACCTAAGAAAATCATCAGTAGAAGGATTCCACGCATCTGTATCAATTCCATTTAGAATTCCAACAAATTTTTTAGCATGAGTATTCAGCGTTTCATGGAGACCGTGTCCACCCTGTAAACAAGAAAACCACCATTGGTATGCATAATAAAAATCTGAAACTTAAAAGTTGTGAGCAGAACATTATGCAGAATCAACAAAAACTCAGTGATATATGGTCATATCTGCATTCAATATTCCGACACTCACATGCACTGTGTATTTCAGTAGTACAGTGAAAGTTGGACTGTTGTATTGACAACAACTATGTTACATCACAGAAAAGGTTTTAGTGAGCTGCAAAGATGGACACAAGTATTTGCTTCACTGTGTGCAAAGTGTGTTGTATCCATCAAACAATAAAAATATCTTTTTCAAGTACATCAATTTTTAAATATATACGTGAATCAGACCAATGAAAAATGAGAACAACTGCCGAAATACAATTGGCAGAAACTTACTATTTAAGTTAGAATTTTTATGTTCACAGCTCATAAAACAGACTAACGAAACAAGTCAATAAGTGACTACAAATATTGGCACAATGAGGATTCATTTAAAACTAACAAGCTGGAAAAAAGTCAAAATGTTACTGATGCGAAACGAGGGAGGGTCTATCAGAATCAGCGATTTAATTTAAACAACGCACCGTTTCGCCAAAATTCATGATCTTCGGTAGGAAATTAATTTAAAACAGTTAAGGTGACCGATGGATTTTAACAAGATTTGCAATGATAACCATAAACAAGGAAATTAATTTAAAACAGTTAAGGTGACCGATGGATTTTAACAAGATTTGCAATGATAACCATAAACAAGCCCAATCTCGAATAATGTTAAGGTGACCGATGGATTTTAACAAGATTTGCAATGATAACCATAAACAAGCCCAATCTCGAATAATTTATTCGCAATATCAATTATCATTTTCGCAAGTTCTAAGATCAATATCAAATTTTCAACAGTCACAGATTCAGTTCTCTCAACTCACAGATATAATATAAGCAGCGAATATATGATAAGAATTTAGAGATGTACTACTTATGTAATTAACTAATAAATTAAAATTAACAGAAAATTACTGAGCGAGAGAAAAACGAAACCTTCTTTCGATCACTAAGATTATCCACTTGCTGTATTGATTATTTGCTTCCGAAATTAATCGAATCTAAAGGCCCATTGACTACAGTGGAGCCCACAGCCCAATTTAACAAGAAACCCATCAATATATTCTGATCTCTCTTCTTCTTCGATCTCAGGAAAAAAAAGAAGCCTCGTTGCGATTTCGATCTGAGGAGAGGTGGACGGTGGCTGCTCGAGGATGAGGATAGCGGCGCTCTCCGTTGTGAACAGGTGGCGGCTTGCCAGAGAACTCGAGGCTTGGACAGGAGGTGAGGAGGCTAGGGCGGCGTCGGAGGCGCTCGGAGATGGAGTGGGTCAGGGGTTCGGGTACTTGGGCGGTTGCTGGAGGAAGAGGAATCGGAGGTGGGGTTTGGTGGCGATGGAGGTCAGGGAGGAGGGGAGTTGGCAGCTGGGGCGCGGCTGCCAGGAGAACTGGGTTTTGTGAGTGGAGATGAGAGATGGGGTTGAAGATGATGAACAGTGTTTATTTTGAATTTTTTTTTCACTTTCTGGCGGCTGGAAAATAGAAGAGGAGAGAAACAAAATTATCAGCTAGGGTTTCACACCTATTGGTTTCACACCAAAGATTTAGCTAATACAATTTTATTTCATTCCATTCCTTTTTCATCCAATGATTACAGGAGGGTTTATAAAGAGAGAAAAATTACAGATTTGCAAATCTTACATAATCAAATCTCTCATAAAATCAAATCCCTCAAATCTCTCACAATTATTAACTTCCAAATTTCAACCTAATTCGAAATTCAAATCCAAACTACGAAATTTAAATTGCAATTCAAAATTCAAAATTTAAAATTAAGAAAAATTTAACTAATCATATATTGCATTTCTTGTCCTCATCAGTTACAATGGCAGAATCATCTACTGAAAATTGTTTTTAAATTACAAAATTGATTAGGCATCAAATTTAATAATATAAACAAAAAAAAGATGTTTTATATGGTTTGGATTACAAGAAATATCACAGCAATGGATGATGTTTACTTGAAGCCCACCTCCGAGGCATAAACGACCCAGAAATACTTTGCAGATGATGCATACGAGATACAAAGAGAGAAATTATACATGAACAGCAAAATACAGATAACAGAAGACAATTGACCATAAACACAGAGGATCACAATTCTGTAAACATTCAAAAATACTGAACCGTAAAAAAAATCAACAACTCCACTGTTAATTTAACAGGAGATGTTTGCAGAGCTAAATGGCGAAAGGAAATCATGTAGCTGAATCCCAAGATTTGGGACAAAGGATTGCGCTAATATTGTTGTAGGAGAATAAAGAGATAAGAAACTCCCATGATTAAATGTCATAGCAACGCATACGTCAGCTTACATCAGTTAACTCATGGTTCTGCACTATTTATAGGCATACAAGTTATTGTAAAGCTACAGGAATGTATGACAATAAAAATTTGAGTCACAAAATATGAAAACTTCATGGATGCGGGCGACAGAAGTGTCAAATGCCCATGCTCAAAGTGATTTCAGTGCCCATTATCATAATTTAACAATAATAGAGAATATGCATTATATAAATTTATGATGGAGAAGATTTCAATATTATCGCAAACACACATACGCCCACGCGTGCGCGCGCACACACAAAAAAACAATGGATGACTTCATTTATACAGCCTGTGAGTCCTAGTATTTAAGTTTTCTGGTGTTAGAATTGGGGTGTCGACCAAACCTTGCAGGCGAGCGGGGCGACAGGCGAACTCTCGAGCGACGCGGTCCAGGCGAGCGAGATCTGGCGAGCTCGTGGCGACGAGCTCGAAAGGGGGGCTGCAGGCGAGGCGAGCTCAAGGTCAGGATCTGGCGAGCTTGATGGCGAGATCTGTTGGCGAGCTCGAGCGACTCCTTGCTGGCGAAGTCGGTCATTGTGTTCCCTTATAAAAGGGAACCCGAAACCCTAGCCCCCTTTGGGCGTTTTTTCTTCTCGCGATCTCAACTCCAGCGACGGCTCTCTCTCCCTTTCTCCTCTCCAGCGATCGCTCCCTCTCTCCTTTCTTTTCTGTGCTCACGTGATTGGGAAGGATCTAAGGGGAGGAATTATTGTGATAGATTTGAAGAGAGGATTAAGAGGGGATGTTATTTAAGAGAGAGGAATCTTCACTGTAGCTACAGTGAAAGATTGTATTTATTGAGGAATCTCAAGTTTGAGATTCGCTCTTGAATTGTAATTTCTTGTTAGATTAATAAGAAATTTTCTGTGTGGCTCCCGAGGACGTAGGCAGTTGCCGAACCTCGTTAAACTTGGTGTACTTTTCTCTATTCCGCGTTTCTGTTGTTTGAGGGGTTTTGCGTAACCCCGACGGGTAGTATTACCAACAAGTGGTATCAGAGCGTGAAACGATCTAGAGGGAGTCAGATTCAAGTGGGAGCCATGACCGCAGATGAAGGAAAAATAGGACTTGAGAAGTTTGATGGAACAGATTTCGGATTCTGAAAAATACAGATAGAGGATTATCTGTATCAGAAAAATCTGTATCAACCACTATCGGGGAAGAAGCCGGATTCTATGAAGGCAGATGAGTGAAGCCTTCTAGACAGACAAGCCCTCGGAGTTATCAGATTGACGTTGACTCACAATGTTACGTTCAACATAGCGAAGGAGAAGATCACGGCGGGTCTTATGACAGCACTCTCAAACATGTATGAGAAGCCATCAGCCGCGAACAAAGTTCATTTGATGCGGCGGTTATTCAATCTGAGAATGGCGGAAGGCGCGTCAGTAGCATAACACCTCAATAAACTCAACACGGTCATAACCCAATTGAGTTCAGTTGAAATTTAGTTTGATGAGGAAGTTCGGGCGTTGATACTGTTGTCTTCCCTCCCAGAGAGTTAGAACGCTACAGTCACGGCAGTGAGTAGCTCGTCGGGAAACAAGTTGAAGTTCGACGATGTTTGTGATCTGGTTCTCAGTGAGGAGATCCGACGGAGAGTGTCGGGTGAAACTACAACCTCTTCAGTATTGCATACAGAGTTAAGAGGTAGAAATTCAACCAGAGGGAACGGACGAGGCAAATCAAACTATAGAGGTAGATCAAAGGACAGGAGGTCCAAGTCAAGAAATCCAAACAACAGCTCGAAGGCTATCGAGTGTTGGAATTATGAAAAGACCGGGCACTACAAGAATCAGTGCAAGAGTGCACAGAAGGAGAAGGAAGCGAAGGCAGAGGTGAATGTCACTTCCACCTCAGGAGGAGACGACGGATTGATATGTTCTTTGGAGAGCAAGGAGGAATCTTGGGTGTTAGATTCAGAAACGTCGTTCCATGCTACTTCTCAGAAAGAATTCTTCGAGAAGTATGTTCCCGAAAATCTTGGATATGTATACCTTGGTGATGATCAACCGTGTGCTATTGTGGGCAAAGGTGTAGTGAAAATTAAGTTGAACAGGTCAGTATGGGAGCTGAAGGATGTCAGGCATATTCCCGACCTGAGAAAGAATTTAATATTCGTAGGCCAGCTGGCTGACGAAGGATACACTACGACCTTCCATGAAGATGATTGGAAGATCTCAAAGGGCGCAATGACGATTGCCCGAGACAAGAAGACTGGTACCTTTATATGACAGCAGGTGCATGTTGTTTGATCTCAGTTGCAGCAGGCAATGAGACTTCAAAGCTGTGGCACCAGAGACTCGGTCATATGAGTGAGAAGGGGATGAAGATCATGCACACAAAGGGAAAACTCCCAGGACTGCAGTCAGTGGAGATGGATATGTGTAAAGAATGCATACTTGAAAAGCAGAAGAGAGTGAGCTTTCAGACAAGTGGCAGAACCCCCAGGAAAGAGAAGCTAGAGCTCGTTCACTCAGATGTTTGGGGACCAACCATCACCGCGTCCATTGGTGGGAAACACTACTTTATGACTTTCATTGATGATCACTCTTGAAAAATATGGGTCTACTTTCTGAAGCATAAGTCAGAAGTATTTGAGGCTTTCAGGAGATGGAAAGTCATGGTCGAGAATGAGACCGGTCTGAGAATAAAGAAGCTCAGAACCGACAATGATGGTGAGTATGAAGACACCGGATTCAAGAAGTTCTGCTATGAGCACGGGATCAGAATGGAGAGAACCGTGCCCGGCACGCCTCAGCAAAATGGTGTAGCTGAGCGGATAAATCGAACGTTGACAGAGAGAGCCAGAAGCATTCGGGTACAGTCAGGCCTACTGAAGCAGTTCTGGGCAGAAGCGGTCAACACAGCAGCTTACTTGATCAACCGAGGTCCATCGGTTCCATTGGAGCACAGAATATCAGAGGAGGCATGATGCGGAAATGAGGTAAAACTCTCACATCTTAAAGTTTTCGGTTGTGTAGTTTACGTGCATATTAGTGATCAAGGCAGGAATAAGCTTGATCACAAGTCAAAGAAATGCACTTTCATCGGCTATGGTGAAGATGAGTTCGGCTATCGTATTTGGAACAACGAAAACAAGAAAGTGATCAGGAGCAGAGATGTGATATTCAACGAGAAGGTGATGTACAAGGACATGCACAAGACAGATGACTCAGAGAGCGAGTCAATATTTGTAGATGCAGATGATGTCCCGAGTAACCTCTCGAAAGAACCCAATGCAGAAGGTCCTCAGCCAGAAGAACCTGTTGGACAAGATGGTGCGCAAGAGCCCGACGCATCATCTTCGATTTTGAGGAGATCTTCACGGCCTCCTGTGTCCAACAGGAGATACATGAACTATCTGTTTTTGACAGGTGGAGGGGAGCCTGAAAGCTATGATGAAGCTTGTCAGGGTGGAGATACGAGCAAGTGGGAGCTTGCCATGAAAGATGAGATGAAGTCTCTCATCTCAAACCAGACGTGGGAACTAGCTGAGTTGTCCACAGGTAAGAAGGCACTCCACAACAAATGAGTGTACCGGATGAAAGAGGAGCAGGATGGTTCCAAAAGATATAAAGCCCGGCTAGGTTGTCAAAGGTTTCCAGCAGAAGGAAGGAATTGATTACACCGATATTTTCGCTCCCGTGGTGAAGCTAAATACTATCAGGCCAGCAGAAGGAAGGAATTGATTACACCGATATTTTCGCTCCCGTGGTGAAGCTAAATACTATCAGGACAGTGATGAGTATTATAGCAATTGAAGATCTTCATCTTGAGCAGTTGGACGTGAAGACGGCGTTTCTTCACGGAGATCTAGAAGAGGAGATATACATGCACCAACCAGAAGGTTTCTCAGAAGAAAAGAAGAAGAACCTGGTATGCAGACTCAAGAAGAGCTTGTATGGCCTGAAACAAGCCCCAAGGTAGTGGTATAAGAAGTTTGACGGCTTCATGCACAAGGAAGGTTTCCAGAAGTGCAACGCCGACCACTGTTGCTACTTCAAAAGATATCAGTCCAGTTATATCATCCTACTGCTGTATGTTGATGATATGTTGGTTGCAGGAACAGATATGGAGGATATCAGGAGTTTGAAGCAGCAGCTGTCAAAGGAGTTAGACATGAAGGACTTGGGTCCAGCAAAGATCATTGGAATGCAAATCACGAGAGATAAGAAGAGAGGCCTCTTGCAGTTATCTCAGGCGGATTACATCAACCGTGTTTTACAGAGATTCAACATGGGCGACGCCAAGCCAGTGAGCACACCCTTGGCCAGCCATTTTCGCCTATCGAAAGATCAGTCTCCTCAGTCAGAAGAAGAGAAAGAGAGTATGGCTCAGGTCCCTTACGCTTCAGCTATCGGCAGTTTGATGTACGCAATGGTCTGTACGAGACCAGACATTGGTCATGCAGTGGGAATGGTCAGCCGGTTTATGTCGAATCCAGAAAAAGCTCATTGGAAAGCGGTCAAGTGGATTCTGAGGTATCTACGAGGGACCACACAGAAGTGTTTGCACTTTGGTAAGGGAGAGGTGGAAATGCAATGGTACATAGATGCAGACTTCGACGGTGAAGTTGATCACCGAAGAAGCATCACCGACTATGTATTCACTGTCGGAACTACAGCTGTTAATTGGATGTCACAGATACAAAAGATTATCACTCTGTCCACTACAGAAGCTGAGTATGTTACAGTGACTGAAACCACTAAAAAGATGATATGGCTTCAGGGTTTGTTAACAGAGCTCGGATTCAATCAGGAGAAGAATGTTTTGCATAGCGTATTAGCGATAGTCAGAGTGCGATACACTTGGCTAAGAATTCCGCATTTTATTCTAGAACGAAGCATATTACGCTTTGGTACCACTTTATCAGATCCCTTTTGGAAGATGATGTGTTGAAACTAGAGAAGATTCCAGGAAATAAGAATCCAACAGATATGTTAACAAAGGCGGTGACCATTCAGAAACTGGAGTTGTGCGCAACTTCAGTTGGCCTTCATGCATAAGTGATGAGGGCGGAGCCACACAGAAGGAGATGCTTGTAGAGGTAGCCTGTTGACGGTGATTTGGCCTCCAAGTAGGAGATTGTTGGAATTGGGGTGTCGACCAAACCTTGCAGGCGAGCGGGGCGACAGGCGAACTCTCGAGCGACGCGGTCCAGGCGAGCGAGATCTGGCGAGCTCGTGGCGACGAGCTCGAAAGGGGGGCTGCAGGCGAGGCGAGCTCAAGGTCAGGATCTGGCGAGCTTGATGGCGAGATCTGTTGGCGAGCTCGAGCGACTCCTTGCTCTCTCCTTTCTTTACTGTGTTGTGCTCACGTGATTGGGAAGGATCTAAGAAAGGGGAGGAATTTATTGTGATAGATTTGAAGAGAGGATTAAGAGGGGGTGTTATTTAAGAGAGAGGAATCTTCACTGTAGCTACAGTGAATGATTGTATTTATTGAGGAATCTCAAGTTTGAGATTCGCTCTTGAATTGTAATTTCTTGTTAGATTAATAAAAAAATTTCTGTGTGGCTCCCGATGACGTAGGCAGTTGCCGAACCTCGTTAAACTTGGTGTACTTTTCTCTATTCCGCGTTTCTGCTGTTTGAGGGGTTTTGCGTAACCCCGACAGGTAGTATTACCAACATCTGGCATACACATAGATGTACTTTACTTGGCCATCTGTACTAGCTTGATATGGTCTGCGATTTAATTGTCATTTGTCAATCAAACCGGTAAAATGGTTTACAAGGTCCTGTTATTTTTATAAGCTCCCAAGAAATTGGAATATAATTATTAATTAGTTGGCATTAGTTGATATAGCTTTGTGCTACAGATGCACAGGGCTCATACAGAAGCTTACAAAAATAGACATGTCCATGGTAGAAACATAATGAACAACAGCCCCCATTAAAACGTACTATAAGGCATCAGTAAAGGCTAAAGCGTCACAAAAACTGTTTGCAACCCTTTATATTGCAAATATTTTTGGTTACTTCAAATGCAATACACATAAACTTGAATTATCGTTTTCATGTGTGCACGCACACGTGCGAAACATTCCGGTGAATGTATCTTATATGCAGACCAGCCACCTCAAAGAATGAAAAACAATTCTCACTTCATAAAGTGTAGAAATATGCATAAAATGCAGAAGAAATACGAAAATTAATAAATAAATAAAAATTGATAAAACAGTACAGCAAAAATCAGGAAATAGGACAAAAATTATTACCTCTGCAGTGCGCACTTCCTGAGCATAAGTTGGTGATACGGTTGTGACAATGTTAGAGTACACAATAGCACCCTGGAAAGAAAACTAAAGTAAACATCTGCAGTCTTACAACTTTTCAAATATATAGTATTAACCATGCACCTACTTTTGTAGGATTAATTCTGTCATGGGCTGAATTGTCCTGCATCCTGTCTGGTCTCTTTAGATGGTGGACATCAAGACCACAGGATGACAACTCTGATGCTGATGTTGTTCCCTGATACTCAAAATTGTGACAGGTGAAGCATATTCTAGCTGAATTAAGGCCTCTGGTCGAATATATCTCCCAGTAAAGTGGTGCCTGAAAACAAAAATTAATATAACAGACGATGTCAAAGGACATAAGATAAAAATTTCAACAGGATAATGGTGGTTAAAGCTTACAACAAAAGCTGTCTGCCAGTCATGACAGTGGATTATATCAGGTCTCTTCCCAGCTTGATAAAGCAATTCAAGGGCTGCACGACTGAAGAATGAGAAACGCTTAAAATCATCATGCTCGCCATATAATTGTCCTCTCCAAAATAACTTAGCTGGATGATGTGGTTCGATAAAATATACAGGAAGACCTGCATTGCCCAATTCTGTTGAGCATATGACTGCAATACTTAATCCAATTAGTGAATATTTAATAAGCTGAAGTTGTGTAAAGAAACCTTCAACAGTCCCAACCCAAATTTTATTTTTGAATAACTGCCCATCAAAGTAGGACTGTATGTCAACATCCAGAGCCTGCAAGAGCCACCAATACTTGTACTCAGCTCATCAAAAGCTAGCATGTTTTTTTACAGCCTGGAAATCTCCCTCCAAATATCATTGCATACCTTCAAATCAGTAATACGTTCATATTCCATGCAATCATATTTAGGAAGAACAATCTCCACTAGATGTCCCTTCCTCTGAAGAGCTTTGCTGAGACCAGATACAACATCCCCTAGGCCACCAACCTTGAGAAGGTCCAACAAAAATCAGGAATTAAATGCAGAGTACAAATATAAAGCTCAATAATGTAGGTACCTTAGACACACCAGCTGGCCTTGAAGCTCTTAAGGTGGTGCCTTCTCTTCAACATTGTTCAATTAGTTTGGAATCTAATAAAACTAACTAAAGATGGGCATCAACTTGACATTTAAGATTTACATCAACTCCTCAGACCATCCTCTTTTATCTTGATGTGAATGCACTGATGATTCCAAGAAACCAGGATTATTGGTAGTTTCTGGAGTTATAGTAAGGCTGCAAGAAGCATTTTTTTCTCGAGGTTATCTTAGTTAAATGTAGTACTAGTTTGTTACCCGTGCAATGCACGGGGTTGTGGGTTTGGGAAATGGAGAGAGATGAGTAGTTTATTAATGGAGGCAATTGATGAATTTTGACAGAATTGACGTAGAGATGATCATGCATAGCATGAAGAGGTTGAAAATACAGGCTCGGTAGTAAATAAAATAGATATTGTTTCCAAAACATAAAATTATAATAATATTACAATAGTTGCCATTGTCATTCTTGCACTTGATGACGATTGCTTTAGTATATAGCAATAGATAGATAATAGATAGATTGTCAGTTCAAATCTAAAAGCTAATGTTCACAGTAAGATTAGTGGAATACAAGAACACCAAGGTCCCGGGATTCCATATGTCAGTTGGAGATACAAAGTTTTTTAAGATCTCCAATGAAATATCAAGATATAAGAATTAGACATTGGAATGAAGCGACATTAAATGTGAATTGGAAACTTTGAGAAACTTAAATGCGTCAAAGGTAGGTTCAGTTAAAACTTATGGATATATATATTTAACGTTGGTCGGCTATACCTTTGCAACCGGAGCCATCTCAGCTGCTATATGAACAATATTCAAGCCTCGCCTGCATAGCGAAACAAACGAGCAAACAATAAAGAAATATATGCAGGTCTTATTCTTTGAATCATTTTGTTACTGACAATAGTTAGTTGAATAGGGGAAAAAACAATACCTTGTCGGTGACGACACTAATTTGAGGAACATTCCCACAGCTTCCTGGTCATGCATTCCCTTGCAAGCCAAGTAAGTATCACGAATTCGCCCGTCCCTCTTCCATGCCATTTCTCTCAGCAACTTAGCATCATCCGAGGAGATTTTCTTCTCAAGCAGCCAGCCATCAATTGAGAGTAACACACGACTCCAGAACTCCCAAGGCATGTCATCTGCAGGTTGTCCAAGATCTTCTCTCTTGTCTCTTTCTTCCAACTTGTTAAGCGTACTTTCAAATTCTTTAACTGATTCTCGATACAACTGGACATGAGACTGTATTTCTTGCTCTGACATTTTAAGGCGCTCCTCTAATAGTTTAATTTTTTGATGCAAGCGCTCATTATATTGTTCAGACTTATTAGAAGATACTTTTGATGCATTTACATGTTCCAAAGCAGCTTCTAATTCCTCCACTTTCCTCCGGAGCTCATGATTTTTTTCCAAAATCTTAACGGCCTGATTTGCTTGCTCGGTTGCATTATCAAGCAATTCCTGCAAATTTTCCACCTTCTCCCATAAGGTTCTACATTCAGTTTTCACTTTGGTAAGTTCTGAAACATCTTTCTGAGCAACTGAAAGTCTAAACTCCAGGTCCTCAATTGCATCTTCCAGTAAAGATTTTTCTTTCTCTAGTACCAGCAGGCGCTCCTCAGTCTGCTCAAGGAAACTAAGTTTAGACTTAAGAGTTTGTATATCTTTCATAAGTAACATATTTTCTTTCCTTAAGGAACTAAGGTCCTCGTCAAGTGGTGAAGCATCAATATCTGCTTGCAAAAATTTAGAATTCTGGATATTAAAGGCATTCTCATATTCACTAATATTTTGTATGTCAATTGAACTCCTTGAAGCCATTTCAGTCTTCAATTTCTCGAGCTGGTTTTCAAGAAATTCAACCTTTATCTTTTCCTGAGCTGCAACTCTAATTCGTGCATCAGTTTCTGCCAACTTCATCTCAAGGGCATTAATTTCTGCTTGCAAAGCCTCCTTTTCAGAAATAATCTTGTCAAGGTCCTCCAATGCACGAACACGAGCTTGATTAAGAAGCAAAATATCTAAAATAAACCAATCAGAAATGAATGGCCTTAATATACAATACACTGAGATTGAATAGCAGCAAGGCATAGTATTACATACTGTTTTCAGCATTCTTTATCATGTCTATCAGATCTTCAAGATGAACATTTTGAAACTTCTGTCGCCCGACTCTTCCATCATGTTGTTGCATTCCTCCATCATGTCCTCCAGCTTCATCAGTATTCTTGATCTGTAACAAATTATTCACATTAACTGTTACATATTACAGAAGCTCTTTAACAATATAAATAAGAGTAAGAATCCTGTAGCCATTGCCCAGCCCAGCCAAATGAATTAGAGAAGAGAGAAGGCAGCACCTCAGTTGACATATATTGATACTTAAAAGCCATAGAAGAGCCATCAAGGGTTTGTATAGTCAACCTATTGACAACTTCTGAAGGTGATGAAGTCAACTGACAGCTCTGTTAATGAGTTTTGTGGCCATAAATGTATTACAACGTCAACGCCTTGTATAGCACCTCAATTGGACATGTATTTGACAAAAGGCCAAAATTGTTGATGCAATGACAAATATGCGAAATAATTTTATTATTACACAAACTAACATGTCAAGGGTGCCATTTAACATCTCACTTGACATGTATTCAATGTTTAAAAGTCACGGGAGATTCGATGTGACAACTAAGATGTCAAGTGACTTCATTACTAAAAACTTCCCTTCTGCAAGGTGTACATTATATTCTAAAATGATATGTAGATGTTTGTTCAAAACGTAGAGTTAAAACTTCTCCAATTTACAGGCAGCATAATATGTCTTTAAGTCAAAAGGATATGCTAAATATCTTATAAATTCGAAGCATTGTAGATAAGAGGGCATTAAAAGTTATAGAAGAGGTAAAGCTATAACTTATCAGCAAAAGCAGATAGATTAGATATAGCTACGGGGAAGCAGAAAAATACCGGAATAATGTTTTCCCCTGCAGAAGTTAGTGTGTCGTCTGTCTTGGTAATGGAACTGGTATCAGCAACAGAACTCGATAAAGTGTCCACAGAAGCATCTATGATACTATCCCTGGTAACTTTTTGAATTTCTTCCCTTTCATCAACATGGGACTGAAAATTCATTTTCAGTGGCAAGCGTTTAGGAGAAACGTTTTTAGTTCGCTGTCTCTTTTGTTGGGAACTGCATGTATTTAACCATATATAAGCTTCATTATTTTTTTTCCCACAGATTAGCAGCATTATAATATGATTTTAAAGATTGATAAATCAAAACACATTCATTGACAAATGAATTCTTTGATAAATTTCTCCAAGCACAAAAAGAGTAGATATATTCCTTTTTTATTCAAGTAAACCATGTAATTGAAAAAACAGATGTATGTGACTGTTGATTGATAGTGACTCTTGATTGATAGTGAAATGAAAAGCAAGTGCAATACTAGTCTCTGATCCCATTACTTGACTTGTTATTTATAAGAAACTATTTGTCTAGATCCCTTCTCAAGCTCACTTCGGCTCAATTTAGAATCTAAGTTACTTCCAGTCTTTTAGGGAACATATGTTGAAATAAATGAATCTTAGAGAGCTTTTATGGAAAGATATAATTTAATGATTGGATTACTTAGATGAAAATTAAAATGTGTTTAATAAGTAGTATGTGAGTTTTAATCCTACATTGGCTAATTGAATGCATTTTAGTTGGTTCAAATTAACACACGTGTTATATATGGTATAACAAAGGTGTTAGTATGGTATATAAGCGAGCGTGCGGGCTCGTGCGCGGGTCCGGCGCGTGCTCCTTTTGCACGTGTTGTCTTTAAACGAGCTTAAACATTTTACATGTGCTCACTTAAAACCAGCTGAACTTTTCGTACGTTACAAACGTTATAAGGATTGAATAGGTTTTATTGCAGACGTTACAAACATTGCAATAACTGGAATTCAAATCTTTGTCTCCCATGAATCTTATAAAAGGGATTCTTCTAATCATTTGAAAAATACAAAAAAATAAAATCTCCTGTCTTCTTCTTTTATAATTCTATAAGTTGTTAAGTACTGGAGGTTCTGACGAACTGAAGAAGTAGTCATGGTGTTCACAAGAAGAGAGCGCTTCTTTGGAGTGTAGTTGTCTCATCCTTGGAAGTACTGTGTAGACCCAACGCTACTGTAGGTGGGGCATAAAAGGCCAGTCCTCTGTTAAGAGGACGATTCGACAGTTCTGTAAAGTATTTCAAACTTGAAGCGTATCTAATATGATGTTTCTAACTTTCTGCTCTTTTCCTTCTTTCTTGTATGGTTTGTTTTGTACTATTTGGATCTGTTTTTATGCTTGCTTTTCCCAACAATCTTGAAGAAACTATTTTTAATTGAAGTTATGTTATCTGTTTCTGGAGTTGGTTCATATGCCTCTAAAATGGACATGTTTGGAATGCCTAAAAAGTTCGTTGGTCAGCTCTTCAAACATTAGCAATAACGTATGAAGATCTAGCTGACGACTAAGGGGCTGTTGGCAGAGAATGCCCAAAACTAGATGAAAAAGATCTTAATAGTGCAGATAAAATTGCACAGTGGACAGAGAAGGATAATATAGCCAGAGGATGCATTTTGTTAGCTATGTCCAACGTGCTCTTCGATGTCTATTGTTCTTCTTCGGCCACTGCAAAGGCATTATGGGATGAATTGGACAAAAAATATAATACTGAAGACATCGGTCTTGAAAAATATTTTGTGTCCAAGTTCTTAAAGTTCCAAATGGTCGATGGTAAATCTGTAACAGAACAAGCACATGAACTTTTGTTCATTCTTCATGCTCTTCGAGAAGCTGAAATGGAACTTCCTGAAAATTTTCAAGTTATGGCAATCATCGAGAATTTTCCTAATTCTTGGGAGACTTTTGAAATGTCTCTCAAGCATCGTAAGGAAAAAATAAATCTTGATGACTTGATGATTGTCATAGCTATTGAGAAAGAGCATAAGAATCAGAAACATGTTGTGCCTGTTGAGCACCAACCTAAAATAAATGTTATTAACTTTTGGGGAAAATCTTAAAAACAAACCTAATGGCAAACCTGATGACAAAATCAAAGCCAAATCTAAGATCCAAAAGAAACAAAAAGCAAACAAACCATGTTGGAATTGTGGACATGTTGAACATTGGGCTAAAGCTTGTCCTGCAAAGAAAGCTAAAGTCAATCCAAGGTTCACTAGTGTACCTCAGGCTAACATGGTTATGACTAAGCCTACTGGGTCCATAGAATGGTATGTTTCTATTAACCTTGAATTACTAAATATTTATGAACCAAATGAATGGTTGGTAGACACTGGTGCAAACATATACATTTGTGTTGACAAATTGTTGTTTGTGTCTTACCAGCCTGTAAATGAAAATACTATGAAGATGGAGAACCAAACTGCATCTAAAATGTTAGGATATAGACGAGTGGACTTAAAGTTTCCTTCAGGGCAAGTTCTATCATTACACAGGGTGCATCATGTTCCTGCTATTCGACGCAACACTTTCAGTTGTATTTGTTTAGTTAGGGAAGGTTATGAGTTTTTTTTAAATGTAATAAAGTAGTTATGTCACATGCTGGATCTTTTACCTTTAAAAGTTATGATTCTGATGGAATGTATAAGATTAGAGCGGAATCTGTTCTTAGTTCTGAAATAAATAAAATTTATGTTTCTAATTATCCTGTTAGTAATAATATTGAATCATCTGATACTTGGCACAAATGTCATGGTCATATTAATTTTAATTCTGTAAAAAGAATGATGAATCTTAAAATGATTCCAAAACACTCTTTAGATCATACTAAGAAATAAAATGATTCCAAAACACTCTTTAGATCATACAAAGAAATGCCAAGTCTGTGCAACAACTAAACAAACAAGGGAACATTTTCAATCGGTTGATAGAAACTCTGAGTTACTTGATTTAGTTCATACTGACATTTGTGAATTTAATGGTGTTTTGACCAAAGATATGAATAAAAATTTTATCACCTTTATAGATGACTATAACAAATATTATTATGTCTACTTGCTTAAAACTAAAGACGAGGCTCAAAAATTTTTATCATTTTTAAGAACGAAGCTAAAACTCAAACTGGCAAGAAACTTAAAAGGTTAATATCTGATAGAGGTGGAGAAAATACATCAAATGAGTTTACTCTTCTATGTCAATCTTTTAGCATAATGCATGAGAAAACTGCTCCTTATTCTCCTCAGTCTAACGATGTAGCTAAACAAAAAAATAGAACCTTAAAAGATATGATTAATAGTCTACTTGAAAGTTCAGGACTTCCTAAATATATGGGGGGAGAGGCTTTGAATACGGCTTGCCATATTCTGAATAGAGTCCTTCAGAAACATAAAGAAAATAGTCCATTTGAACTTTAAAGAGGTCGGAAGACAAGCTTGAAATACCGTAAAGTGTGGGGATGTCTAGCAAAAGTGTTAATCCCAGAACACAAGAGGAAGAAGCTAGGTCCTAAGACAGTAGACTCTATCTTTTTGGGTTATGTAGAAAACACCTATGCTTTGAAAAATCTAAAATCCCAAGTATAGATGTTAATACAATTGTTGAACTTCGTGAAGCAAAATTTTTTGGAGATGTTTTCTCTATGAAAACTAGAATGCCTCAAAATATTTCTAATAAAAATACAGTATTTGTCTCAACTTCCATTCTTGATCATGTGAAAATGATGACAAATGTGGGGGCAGATAGTTCTACATCTGAATCTGAAAGATCAGATGATTTAGATGAACCTAGAGGAGTAAGAGAGCTAGGATCGTCAAAGATTTTGAAAGTGACTTTGTCACTTACAATATCGAGGAGGATCCTATTTCCTACAGATCCGCTATGACCTCGAAAAAGGCTAAATAGTAGAAGGAAGCTGTCAAAAATGAAATGGATTCTATTGTCTCTAATGGGACATAGGAATTAGTTGATATTCCTCCTGGGTGCAAGACAATTGGGTGTAAATGGATTTTTACAAGAAAAATAAAACCAGATGGAACCATAGAAAATTTTAAGGCCAGACTTGTTCCCAAGGGATTCAAACAAGTTGAAGGAATTGATTTTTTTGACACATACTCTCTAATTGCCCAAATGACTACAATCAGAATGCTTATAGCATTGGCTTCTATATATGATTTTCCAATCCACCAGATAGATGTAAAAAACTGATTTTCTTCATGGTTTTCTTGAAGAAGAGATTTATATTAATCAGCCTGAGGGATTTGTAGCACTTGGAAATGAAAGAAAAGTATGTAAACTTGTGAAGTCTCTTTACAGACTTAAACAAGCCCCTAAACAATGGCATAAAAGGTTTGATACAGCTATCACTGATTTTGGTTTCAAAATGATTGAGTCTGATAAGTGTATTTATAGCAAAGTAAGAGGTGCTTCTTGTATTCTTCTGTGCATTTATGTTGATGATATTCTATTGTTTGGATCTAACATTTGGATAATCAATGAGACTAAGTCATTCTTGAATAGTAAGTTTGAAATGAAGAACATGGGAGTTACTGACGTGATTCTTGGCCTAAAATTGATAAGATCAGTTGAGGGTATAGTTATTTCTCAATCTTACTATGTTGAGAAGGTTATTAAAAATTTTGGATATAAGAATTGCAAACCCGTCAAAACTCCATATAATCCATCAGTAACTCTCTACAAGAATGTAAGTGGAGTCTCTGTATCCCAATTGAGATATTCTCAGATCATTGGAAGCTTGACGTATCTTACAAATTGTTCGAGACCGGATATATTTTACTCGGTTTCTAAATTAAGTAGATACACTAGTTGTCCAAATAGGACTCATTAGGAGGTCTTGGACAGAATAATTCGGTATCTGAAGGGAACTGTTTCCCTTACACTGCATTACGGTAGATTCCCTCCCGTTATGGAGGGATACAGTGATGCTAGCTGGATTATTATGGGTTCATGTAGCAATGATTGTACAGGGTATGTAATTACCTTGGGTGGAGGTGTTGTCGCCTGGAGATCTATCAAACAGACCATTTTATCTCAGTCTACGTTTGAGGTAGAAATTTGCACTTTGGACACTACTGGTTTAGAAGCTGAATGGCTTAAGGGACTTATGTCCGAATTGCCCATGATCAGCAAGCATATTCCTGCAATCTCTGTACATTGTGACAATATGACCACAATTG